TCCACTTTTTGTAGGACTCTTTTTTTATTTTTAGATCATTGAAGATCTCCTGGTTAAGCCAGCGTGTCTCTTGCCATACTTCCTGTCTTTCCTATGCAGTGGGATAGTTTGTTCTTGTGCCCTTAATAATGTCTCTTTGAAAAACTGCCAACTATCTTCAATTGTTTTTCCCCTTGGAATCTTATCTATCAACACCCTGAGTTTGCTAAAGTCTGCCTTCTTGAAATCCATTATCTTCATTTTGCTATTCTCCCTCCTACCATTCCTTAGAATCATGAGCTCTATCATTTCATGATCTCCTTCACCCAAGCTGCCTTCCACTTTCAAATTCTCAACCAGTTCTTCCCTATTTGTCAACATCAAATCTAGAACATCCTCTCCCCTAGTAGCTTTCTCCACCTTCTGAAATAAAAAAAAATTGTCTCCAATACTTCCCAAGAACTGTCTCCAGAACTTCTTTGTATAATCTGTGCCCTGCTGTGTTGTTTTGCCAACTGATATCTGAGTAGTTGAAGTCTCCCATCACCACCAAGTCCTATGCTTTGGATGATTTTTTTTTTGTTAGCTTAAAAAAAGCCTCATCCACCTCTTCTTCCTGGTTAGGTGGTCTGTACTAGACCCCTACCATGACATCACCCTTGTTTTTTACCTCTTTTATCCTTACCCAGAAACTTTCAACAAGTCTGTCTCCTATTTCCATCTCAACCTCAGTCCAAGTATATACTTTTTTAATATATAAGGCAATGCCTCCTCCCTTTTCCCCCTGCCTGTCCTTCCTGAACAAGCTGTACTCTTCTATATCAATATTCCAGTCATGTGGATTATCCCACCAAGTCTGTGATGCCAGCTATGTCATAGTTGTGTTTATTTACTAGCATTTCGAGTTCTTCCTGCTTATTCCCCATACTTCTCACATTAGTATATGGACATCTACTATACTGATTTGATTCCTGTCCCTGCCACAGTTCTATCTTGTCTCTCCTGCTATAACAGCCCATGCTCCCCCCCCCCCCCAATTCCAAACCTTCTCCCAGGTCTCCATGCTCTTGACTTACCTGTGGGCTTTGGTCACCTGTCCCCTTCGAACCTAGTTTAAAGCCCTCCTCACTAGGTTAGCCAGTCTGTATCCAAATACGCTCTTCCCCTTCCTCGCTAGGTGGACCCCATTTCTGCAACAATGTTTGACAGGGACCTTACCTCTGCAGTTCCTGACTTTGGTTTATTTTTACGCTGCAACGTAACAGTGCATTAACAATTCCCCCCATATAATTACTATTCAGTTATGCCGTACTCTGGCAAGAGTTGCTCTATTAGCAGAGATTAGGAAACCAAAATTTCCTAAAAGCTGTTGGCCAAAAGTTGGTTATTGAATGTGGATAAAACGCTTCCTCCACATTTTATACTAAAGATGAGTAGTCTTTCTTCCATTTGTCCAAAGAAAACAATTCTGGTATTTTTAATTTGTCTGCAGAAAGTGTGTGTGTGTGTGTCTGTTTGTGTTTGTAAAATCACAAAATTATTCTGATCCTATATATGATATAAATATAATCTGTATATGTGGTCAAAATAATTGTATACTTTAAAAAATGTGAAATATGTTAGTATTGGAGGCTAGACTGTAATGAATATGGTTTTGTTTCTATTGGATAGAATGTCAGATCTTGTCAGCTTGTCAGCAAGTTAAGGAAGTATGGGCTGGATGAATGCACTACAAGGTGGGTAGAAAGCTGGCTAGATTGTCGGGCTCAACGGGTAGTGATCAATGGCTCCATGTCTAGTTGGCAGCCGGTATCAAGTGGAGTGCCCCAAGGGTCGGTCCTGGGGCCGGTTTTGTTCAATATCTTCATAAATGATCTGGAGGATGGTGTGGATTGCACTCTCAGCAAATTTGCGGATGATACTAAACTGGGAGGAGTGGTAGATACGCTGGAGGGGAGGGATAGGATACAGAAGGACCTAGACAAATTGGAGGATTGGGCCAAAAGAAATCTGATGAGGTTCAATAAGGATAAGTGCAGGGTCCTGCACTTAGGACGGAAGAACCCAATGCACAGCTACAGACTAGGGACCGAATGGCTAGGCAGCAGTTCTGCGGAAAAGGACCTAGGGGTGACAGTGGACGAGAAGCTGGATATGAGTCAGCAGTGTGCCCTTGTTGCCAAGAAGGCCAATGGCATTTTGGGATGTATAAGTAGGGGCATAGCGAGCAGATCGAGGGACGTGATCGTTCCCCTCTATTCGACATTGGTGAGGCCTCATCTGGAGTACTGTGTCCAGTTTTGGGCCCCACACTTCAAGAAGGATGTGGATAAATTGGAGAGAGTCCAGCGAAGGGCAACAAAAATGATTAGGGATCTGGAACACATGACTTATGAGGAGAGGCTGAGGGAGCTGGGATTGTTTAGCCTGCAGAAGAGAAGAATGAGAGGGGATTTGATAGCTGCTTTCAACTACCTGAAAGGGGGTTCCAAAGAGGATGGCTCTAGACTGTTCTCAGTGGGAGAGGATGACAGAACGAGGAGTAATGGTCTCAAGCTGCAGTGGGGGAGGTTTAGATTGGATATTAGGAAAAACTTTTTCACTAAGAGGGTGGTGAAACACTGGAATGCGTTACCTAGGGAGGTGGTAGAATCTCCTTCCTTAGAGGTTTTTAAGGTCAGGCTTGACAAAGCCCTGGCTGGGATGATTTAACTGGGAATTGGTCCTGCTTCGAGCAGGGGGTTGGACTAGATGACCTTCTGGGGTCCCTTCCAACCCTTATATTCTATGATTCTATGATCTGCTTGAGGGTATGTAGTTGTTGCCCTGTAGTGGCTAATTGACAACTAACATAGTTTCTCAAGTATAGCTCAGGTGATAGGAGCCTGTGATGTTTTTCTGAAGTGTAAGGACTTGAGTTCTGTTCCTGCCACAGTGAGGTCTGGTGAGGCCACATCCTATGTGACAGTTGATATGTAAAATCTATCTGGCCACAGATCCAATATAGGAGGCTACCAGTAGCCTTCACATATAAATGTTTATCGGATGGTATTTTGCTATTCTTAACAAAGTGCAGATCTGCATGTCTTCCATACTTAAAGAAGCCTCGTCCACAGCCAGATCTTTAGAAGCTGCTCCAGGCTGAGCAGGATCTAATTAAAATCTGAGAATGGAGCATGATTTGAATTACGTTGACTTCAAAGGGTCCAATCCAGTACAGTACTCCTCACCCAGGCCACTTCTTATCTTCTTTTTTTCTTCAGTAGTGTGGAACCAGGTCTTTAAAATATAGGAAAAGTTGCCAAACCATTGAAGCACTTGTCAAAATTGGTGATTTCTTGAAAATGCAAATACCAAATGCAATAGTAATTAATACTTAGATTTGCTGTATAAAACTTGCCAGTTGAACAATGTGGACTAGAATTGCTCCAGTTCCATACATTAGTCCACTGAAGTGGATGAAATTTGATAAGTCTGTGTGTGTACGTGTGGTTTCCTGTTTTAATCTACCCTGCCCACCACTCTTCAGCTGCACCTAAAATGTTTGCAATGTCTGTGCACCTAAAAGAATCAGCATGATACAGCATGTGTAGGTCTTAGCAATGGTGCTCGTTGAGAATTTTTCAAACAATGTTCATTAGAAAATGCCAGTTTGTTGAAATGGAAACTTTCTGAAGAAACATGTTGGTTTTGACAAAACTTTGAAATATTTATTGGGCCAGAGAGAGAATCCGGTACAGCAGGGACTTGAACCTGGGTTTTTCTACACCCCAGCTAAGAGCCCTAACCCTTGGACTACAGAGTCAGTTTCCCTCCATTGCTCCTGTTGGACATGCTCCACTTTGTATAAAAAAATTAACTATTCATTGGGCCAGACCAAGAGAGAGACTGACTATGATCTGGTGGTTAGGGCACACACCTGGGAAGTGGGAGACCCAAGTTAAAGTCCTTGCTGTGCCTGATTCAGGGTCAACCACATTCCAGGGGAGTGCCCTAACTGCTGGGCTTTCGGCTGTTCTGGGGTCTCTCTGTCCTGCACTGTTGGGTAGGTCTGGGTTTTTCTTGTGCAAAAAAATTTGAAAGGTCTCCATTTTTTTCTGATACAGAATGAAAACAAATACCAAAACCTCAGCAATCTGGCAAACTGGATACTTGTTTTCTAGCTAGCTCTACTTAGTAAGTTGCATTTTTAAATAGGCTATTTAAAATCAGTTTCCTCTTTACTTTCCTGCCAGGACCCAAGTTCAGGGTTTTGTGATTCCCTCACAATACCTGACACCCAAAGCAGAATATTTCCCCCCTACCCCCCATTTCTAGCTTCACTTAGATGCTATTATCTAGCCTTAGATGCTATTATCAACTGCTGCAATGGAAACTTAGAATCCTGAATTTAGGGAAGTAATTCTGGAAGAGTGTGTTAGGATCTACACAGTGCTTGAGAGGGAGATGGACCTTCAGCGAAGAACCTGCAGTTCCCTAATTCTCCAGCCCTGCTCTCATTGTAAGTTAGAGCAGTCTAGGGACTGTTGTAATGTGCATCTACTGACAACAGCTTTAAGGGACTATTTGCCAATTCAGAATTGGTGGAGAACAGTGGGTTCCAGCAGCACCCTTTCTGCCCCTGGCATACCCGCTCATGCTCCCCCGGCCTGTCCTCTTACCCTGGAGCTGGGGGGAGGCTGGCACATGAGCTGGGTACATTGACTTAATGCCAAATGAGAGCTCCCTGTCACAGGTGGGATTTTCAGTTGGATAGGTACTGCCAGTATCCAATGGCTTTGCGCAACGTGAACAGGGTCAGAGTAGAGAGAAAACCTGTCCCTTTTTGTAAGAATGTAAATACATTTATAATTTTTATGTTTACATCTTTTATGTCTACATCTTAAATGTGTTAAAGATTTGCAATCTCAGATATATTTTTAAAACTTTATTTACAAAAGCTTTAAATGCAGTGTTGTGGGCATCCCTAAAGCACCCCTGACAATTCAAAGAGTACCACTAACTGGTTTTTTTTGTACAAGGATCCTTCATTAAGGTGAAGAGACATTGTGAGCTGACAGAGCTTTGGCTCTTGATCACTAGCACATCACGAGACCGATTTAACAAACTGCCCTGCTTACCAACAGCATTTGATGACTTTGTCCCATCTTTGGTGAGTGTTTTTTTCCAAAGTTAGAGCCCAACTTCTAAAGTGCAATATGTTTAAGTGCTTTGGTTCTAATTTCTGTAGATTACAGGCAGAGATATGTAATTAAGGACTCCATGGAGCCTTTGTGGGGATGAAATGCATTTCTGGTGAACCCCACCCCCCCTTTGTTCTGTTGACCAAATACATTTAATTACATTTTTGTCAACAGTATGTAGTTCTACTCAGATCATACTGTCAACAGAAATGCAACAGCATAAAATCTTTTTGTCCACAAAAAATAAATGGCAGACTACATTTATTTTTTTGTGAGAGTCTGAAAGAAAGTGAGTATGTTTACAAGCTGGAAATATGACCTTCTCCCTCCCTCCTTCCTGCTGAGAAAGCTTGGTGAAATGGCCAGAATAATTAATATAGTAAAATCCTGCTTGAACATCCCTGGATTATGATCATTGTTGTTTAATATTTATTTATTTGTATTATCATAGCACCTAGGAGCCACAGTTGTGGGCCAGGACCCCATTGTGCTAAGTGCTGTACAAACACAGAACAAAATGACAGTCCCTGTCCCAGAGAGCTTACAATCCAAGTATAAAACAAGACACAACAGATGGCTATATCACTGTCATAAATATAAAGGGAAGGGTAAACCCCTTTGAAATCCCTCCTGGCCAGGGGAAAGCTCCTCTCACCTGTAAAGGGTTAAGAAGCTAAAGGTAACCTCGCTGGCACCTGACCAAAATGACCAATGAGGAGACAAGATACTTTCAAAAGCTGGGAGGAGGGAGAGAAACAAAGGGTCTGTGTCTGTCTATATTCTGTTTTTGCCGGGGATAGACCAGGAATGGAGTCTTAGAACTTTTAGTAAGTACTCTAGCTAGGTATGTGTTAGATTATGATTTCTTTAAATGGCTGAGAAAAGAATTGTGCTGAATAGAATAACTATTTCTGTCTGTGTATCTTTTTTGTAACTTAAGGTTTTGCCTAGAGGGGTTCTCTATGTTTTTGAATCTAATTACCCTGTAAGATATCTACCATCCTGATTTTACAGGGGGGATTTCTTCATTTCTATTTACTTCTATTTTTATTAAAAGTCTTCTTGTAAGAAACTGAATGCTTTTTTATTGTTCTCAGATCCAAGGGTTTGGGTCTGTGGTCACCTATGCAAATTGGTGAGGCTTTTTATCCAACATTCCCCAGGAAAGGGGGGGGTGCAAGTGTTGGGAGGATTGTTCATTGTTCTTAAGATCCAAGGGTCTGGGTCTGTAGTCACCTAGGCAAATTGGTGAGGCTTTTTACCAAACCTTGTCCAGGAAGTGGGGTGCAAGATTTTGGGAAGTATTTTGGGGGGGAAGGACGCATCCAAACAGCTCTTCCCCAGTAACCAGTATTAGTTTGGTGGTGGTAGCGGTCAGTCCAAGGACAACGGGTGGAATATTTTGTACCTTGGGGAAGTTTTGACCTAAGCTGGTAAAGATAAGCTTAGGAGGTTTTTCATGCAGGTCCCCACATCTGTACCCTAGAGTTCAGAGTGGGGGAGGAACCTTGACAATCACTGATAGGGTTAGCTAATCATAGCTGCCTAACCTCTGGCTTTTTGTCTGAGATGCAGGAATTTGCGTTTTTTTCTCCAGGACTGCAAGTTTGCCTCCAGTCTCCATGGGTACTGTGGATACTACCAGCATAGATACTGCAGTTGTGAAAAGGATGTTGAATAGATTACAGAAGGAATAGAGAGTGAAATGTATTGTACAGGTAACATTTTTTTCCCTCTGGCAGGATAAACTTGGGGTAAGGTCGGGGACAGGTAAAAATCAGTCTTTTGACTATCCTCTTGTAGGTGGGTATAGAATGAAGAATTTCCCATCATGACTGTTGGCATTTGTATTGTTTTGCTAACTTATAGTGCCCTTGTCTGTACTGTCACACATTGATATAACATTGCTGTTTTCTTCTCCCTTTTATTGGTCTGTGACTTCAGTGTTGCACATCAGGTGGCCTGTGTGTGATGCTGCATTCAGCATGAGAGAACTGGTGGGGAGTTGATACCAGCAAGGTTTGTGTCAGCATGTAATATCACTGTGTTAGGGAGATGGGTGATGTATCTTCTGCATCTCTGGATAATGTGACCGATCCAGCATCCAAGCAAAACAGTTTCCTGGCTTTTCTTTCAGATTTGGTCTTAACTTTGGGAAGCAGAGTGGTGTAGTAAATGAAGTCCTGACTAGGACTCAGGGGACCTGAATTCTATTCCTGGCTCTGTCATGGGCCTGCTGGGTGACCTGGGGTAAGTCACTCGCCTCTCTGTGCCTCAGTTTCCCCCCTCTATAAAATGGGAATAATAATACTTATCTTCTCTGTAAAAAGCATTGAAATGTACTGATGACAATTACTATTTATTATCATCACTTGGCTATAACATCACTTTTAATACAACCTGCAAAGTCAGGTTGTAACAAGTTGATGAATTGCTAATGGCACTCCAGAGACTTCAGCAAAGGTGAAACGAATGACCAAAGGTGGCAAAGTTCATATGCTAGTTGCCATGCAAGATACTGGCGAGGTGAAGTTTTAAACAATAAAAGAGATCTTAGGCAAACCTGCAAATTGATTTAAATAGAGAAAGACTTTCTCCACGTGCCATTTGTTTATGGCAACGGGAATAGTTTCCTATGTAGTGTAGCCTCTAAGCCAAACTGGTGCTGATGAAAATAGTTCTTGCCGAGCTGGAAAACAGTGTAGGTTGTAAAATATGTGTTTTGTCAGCTTAGATGTAACAGTAGCCATCAAATGTTTTGAAGCCTCTGCTGTTGACAAACACGGAGAACAAGTACCATAAGACATCATCTTATTGAACGCATTGACAGTCTGCTGCGAAATTGCATGTGTGCTGTGGCGTTTTGCTCAGCTGTGGAGTCTGCTGCACTTGCTTAATTAGGCTAGCGTTGAATCAATAAAATGGAGAAGGAGTCACCAAAATAAGGGATTTGGTTAAATTTGTGACTGTTTTCCTTTTGCCCTTGTGTCAAGCACTTTGCCTAACGAAACTGCTTTTTGTAGGTGATTCCGCAATTAAAACACATCTTGATTTTTTTCCCTGTTCCACATTAAGCTGCATCCTCTATTTTTGATACATGGGTATTTCTGTCCATATGGCAATGAACAAGGGCACTACTTGGTACAAAGTGAAAAAGAGGATAATATAAGTTCAGCTTCCTCCTCCCTTTCACAGGTGCTCTGGGGAAGGGATATATGGTTGCAGCTACATTAGAAAATGATAATCCTTATAGCATCTGCCATGACATGGCAACAGCACTGGTGGGAGAATGGTGCAAATCCTAAAGTAATCCATGGATTTATACTTCTGTGTCAGGAATACTTGTCCAAACATCTGGCTTCCTTTATATGGTGGTAAACACAACTGAACCCTCTTTATATTAGCAGCCTACTGCTAAGGCAGCTGGACTATTTGTGGTTGTTGTTAGAATAACAGGTGTTAATTCTTCTAAGGTAAATGCACTGGAGTGGGTGTCCTGGGGCTGACAGAATACTTTTGTGAATGTGGGATTCCACCTCCATGTATCCTAGGAATGGGTTGGACTCCAAACTGGGGGATTTTCTTCTGTTTAACTTTCTAGTTGTTGATTTATTATACTTTTTATAAACACTGAGCCTGGTAGAAAAGACCTTGCTTACTGTGGCTCTTCTTGTTCTCCTGCAGAGCCATTCCACCTTCTTAAGGTGCACAACTCCCTGAATGTGAAGAGGAGGCCCCCTGGGTCTCCAGCCCAAACCCAGATGTCTACATTGCAATTTTTAGACCTGCAGCCCAAGCCCCGAGAGCCAAAGTTAGTGGACCTAGGTCAGATCTTCTATTGCAGTGTAGAGGTTTCCCAAGTGTCCAATAGATACATTACCAGATGCTTCATCCTATAGGAATATTTAAATGAACATGCTGAGCTGGTGATATTTTACTAAATGCTAATTTACTTAGCCCTACAATCACATATTTATGCAATTCCTGGGGAGTAAGTAAAAATGTTTGAAGTAACCAAACATGGAATTACTGCATAATCCATCTAAATGTGTACATTAATAGCATTAGTTTACTATTTACTCTCTGTCTGTCTGTCTCCCAGCTATAGTAACTCTGTCAGGACCTCTCCTCTATACGCTTTTTTCCTTTTGTCTCCTCTGCAAAGAGCTCCAGGCTCCTGACCTCTCACAAAACGATAGCTCAAGTGTGCTTTGATTTCACAATGCCACTACTGCCACTTCACAATGTAAAAACTCTTGCTGCCAGTCGGCAGCCATATTCTGTCCTACTGCCACTCCTCGGGTCTCTCTCTCCTCTCTCTCTTTCCCACTCCAACCTGAACTGCTCTTTTTTCCCTCGTTCATGTGTTGTGTATATACAACACACACATTCTTACAGTAGATGCATATGTTTGTTCATGAATGTTTATATTATATGTAATTTGATGGAGGGTAGTGACACCATAGTGAAGGTTGCATCAGAAATTTCATTTCAGCAGGTATATACATACTTGCAGTTGATGTATGCACACCTGTGTGTGTGTGTGCACGTGTGCATACACCCCTTCCCCGTTGAAAGTGTGTACATACCCACTGAAATTAATCTCTGGTGCAACCTTAACTACGGTGTCACTTCCCTGCCACCCTACCATAATATGAATATGTATAAGTAGATAATGATACCATTTAGGTTGATTATGACAGTTGTTACACCAATATTTCCTTCAGCATTTGTGTACACTGCTTTATTCATTTGCCCCTGTCCTGACTGAGTCTGATGCACTTCTCCTGAAATGGAGATCTGCATTTGGCATTGTACCAGGATTTCTTTTTTCTCCTGCCGTTCTCTTGCAACTTTGTTGAAATAGTCTCTCATTTACATATATAATTTAGCATTGTCTTTCAGCTCAGTGTGATAGTATCTATATTTCTGACAGATTTGTCACAGTATTTGTCTTATTTCTATCAACTGCCTGATTCTCTGTCGTTGTCTTGTTCACTATATTTCATTTGTCTCCGTAGCAGCCACTGTCACTATATTTGTCTTCGTCCAAGTCATTATGCTCCTTCAAGCTTTGTCTCATTCCCTGATATTGGTCTTGCGCTCAGTATTTTTTGTAAGTTATAGATGCAGTTGTCAGAATATTAGTCTTAGTCGCACTATATTTACTACTAGTTTAGTCGTTTGCTTACTACTAGTTGTTTGTTGTGCTTGGTATTATAATAAACATTTGCCTACTCCAAGGTATTTATTGTATAATCTACAGTAAATAGGCAAACAATGCAGTCCAGTCATATGAAGCACGAGGTGACCAGAAAAGATATTTATCACATAGCAATGCTGTTTTTAAAAAAAATTTCTTCCTCTTTTTTTTTAAATAAATTAAATAAAATAACACTTCTGGTTTGCCTCAGTGTTTGCCTTCTATCCTATGTTTGTCTCATTCTCAGGACAGGTTTTAGTCCAATATATTTAATTTTTATCCCTCTTCAATCTTTTCTTCTCCCAGTGACCCATAAGCATAATTTGCTTTTCTTCACTGACTCTGAAAATGGCTGAATTGCATGTGCATCGCTGAGGAAAGGATGCTGTGGGAGGTCAGAGCAACGGTGTCATGCAAGTGAATGCAAATATGTGAGTTCTTGCTCTGAACTTTTGTAAGTTCAATCAGGGAGCTCTGGAACAATGTGAATTTTTGCTTGTGGGAGGCCAGAGTGGTTATTCATGAGTGCTTCATCCTCTTCTCTTCTCAGTTTTAATACTGCATTAACCAGCTAGGCACCTGCTGCAATACGTTAAAAATCTCTTGTATATTTTTAAAGGATGTTTATTAAATAAACAGCTTGGAAGTAATTGTGCAGGGGGAAAATGCCTTTTTCCAGCTCCCCATAAAGGAATTTTATTAGCAACAGATCTGAAGAAACTGCCTGCGAATGTAAAAAAAAGTACAGATGGTGCTCAGCAGAAAAAGGCAAGATGAGAACAAGAAACAATATATACAAAATCAAGACAGGCTTTTAGTTTTATGGTTTTTCAGCCAGCGTAAGATATATAGTGAATAAAGGTGTAACAACAAAACAAGTGCACAGGAATGGTATGTCTGTGTTCCATGTACAAGCAGAAGCAATGCAAAGAGGCTGTATTTATAGATGTTATGTACACAGCATACAAACAGAGTTAGAAAGAAAACATAAATACTCTTCTTGAAAGGTTGCAGTGCAACTGGTTTTTTCAATACAACAGTTTCCATATCTGTCCCTTCAAATGCCCTGTAATCTCTCCCAGGCTTTATAAAATACAAGACTCCTAAGGAACGTAGGAGCAGCCCAGAAAAGTGGTGATGGGGAGAAGTACAGTGGCAGTAATTGCGGGAGGAAAAGACCCAAGAAGTTAATGTCAATGGAGACAGCAAAAATTTGCCCGCTCACCACCTTCTCCCCTGAGCACAAACAGTTGATTGGCGCCACAAGTCTGGGAGGCGGGAGAAGCAGAACGGCTGCGGGGTGCTCGGGGGAGGAGGCGGAGCAGAGGTGAGCCGGGGTGGGGAGCTGCCGCATGGCTCCCCAGGCCGAGGGGAGGGAGGGAGTGGAGGGCGGGGAGCTGCCTCACAGCTCCCCAGGCCGAGGCAGGGGGCGGAGGGGAGCTGCCGGACAGCTCCCCGGACCGAGGGGGGGGGGGTGAGGTGGGGAGCTGCTGCAGGGGGGTGCCTCTG